TTCCAAAACACCCTCCAAGGTTTCAATCTGACTTGCATCCAAGGACTTACAAAGTATGTCTCATAATATCTCCCAGTGATCTAAAGTTAAGGAGAATACCTTTGCTTGCAGCAAGATCAGTGACCAGACTGAGACCAGTATCAATGAGCTTTGTCAAGTCAAACTTGAAAACTTGATTACACAGACTTTAACCAACTTGCCATAGTACAATGTCATGACATTCCTCTTTATATTGCATGCAAAACACTAAAGAGCAACCGTTTCCTTCAGCATTAAACTTATCCTTAGTAAAGACTGGGATACAAACAAAACTTGGCTAATGTAGGAGACAAGATTGCTTCCTAAGGAAAATCATCCTTCAATAACACCAACTTCATCATATTTTTTTCTTGAAAATCCCTAATGTGTTAATAGCTTTGTTCCAAATTACACATATTAAGGTCTCCTTAAGTTCTGAATGCAAGAAAGCATCAAACTTAGATATAAAAAAATGGAGATCCCTTCACAGAATAAACTCCATGCTATCCAATTCTCTGGATAAAACTCCTGAACTCTAGCTGACTTGAGAAATTTCTAATTCAGTGCCTGCAACTATTCAGAGCCTTCTGTTCTAGAGTATTAGAGAGATGGTGTCCCAACATTAGGTTCAACATCATGCCCTTTCTTAAACATAAAATCATCTCTTATAGATTTTACTAACAATAGAGGAAAACAAAGATATTCATTTAATACAGTTGAGACCAATAAAGATCTTTAAAGACTTCAAATATACTTGATTATGTTTTGCAAGCGACCACTAAGAGTATTTTCATTTAACATCTTCTGAACCCCAACTTTCCTTAGTAGAGGTTGATAAAGACTTTTGATAGCTTCAAATAGATTTGATCTTTAATTTTCTAAAGTTCACCAAAGATTATCAACAAACATCACAACAACATACCTTAGTTCATCAACATTCTCATCATGCACAAGATTTTACGAGATTCACAAGAGGAAGTTCTAGAATTATTGTAGCACTGATGTTGCAACTTTTGGTGAGGCATCTTCACCCCAACTCTCATGGACATTCAAGATAAGAAAATAAATGTTAATAGAAAATTTCCTTCTCAGAACTGCATTCATCCCAATAGTAATCATGATCTCACAAATGAAATAGCTCATCATATTAGATGTCATATCTTTAATCAAGGAGAACATAATTAAGTCTAGAGAAACTTGAACTATCCAGTTCTTCAGCATCTTCATCTTTGGCCATAGTACCAAAGTAACACAACTGGTAAGATGATACATAATGCTCACCAACCACTTTCTAAAATCAGACATGTGACTAGCCTAGCCACAATCAAAATTCCTATCTCCTTTTAGTGAAATCTTTAGAAGAAGAAAAATGACCATTTTCTTCGAATTTTAACCACTGCTTGGTTATTTCTTAGGCTGAGAAGGCCTTTTTGAGAGATCCATTCAATCTTGACATAGACAAAATGAAAGAAACCAAAATTTATCACAGAAGTGATACCTTCAATGCAAGACTTGGATTTTAGCTTGAGAATCCCGATTTCTATTATTTTGATGAGACATTCTGATTTAACATCAATGACTCAGCTGATTTTCCCATTCTTCCTTTTCAGCCTTAATAAAAATCCCCTTCTTAATGCTGATGTCAGAACATATGTTCTAGACATTTGGACTTGACCTTTTATCCACTCTTCATGGTACCTGTTTGAAATTACCTCCCAAGTAACACATCATCATAGGACAACCCTTCATCAGAAATAAAATCATAATACTCCCCCATTTATCTTACTCCCGGTTGGTGAAGACTTGAACTTATACATAGGTTTTCACCTTCAAGTCAACACTCTTAATAAGAGACATGAGAATCTTTCTAACTAGCTTGTCTTCTTCTCCCAAAGAGCTGAAGGCATTTGATATAACAAGGGAATTCATGAAATGTCATAAATTTCTTTCATCATCTTTCCTCTTAAAGTTTTAAGGATGACATGTGAGAAGCTAGACATCTACAATTCAGATGTTCCTAAGAGAGGTCTTTAGATAATCCAAGCAACTTTGGCCATAACACATATCCTTATCAGCCTGACATATCTTTATCAATTCTCTAGACAAAGATAAGAAATATCTTAACCTAAGAAAAAACACCAATTATGAACTGCCAGAGTTCTTCCATCAGAGGCATATGCAAGCAGCAGAAGACAAATTAAAATAGCCTCAACATACTCCATGCAAGATGTCAGGACATCTTGTAGGACATCATGCACATATACATCCATCAGTAGTTGTAACAACATCAGCATATAAACAACCATAAGTAGTTGTTGTATCAACAACACAACCATCACTAATTGTGACATAAAGACAACCATCAGTAGTTGTCAACATGATTATTACAACCATTAGTAGTTGTAACATCAACACAACCATCAATAGTTATGAAGGCAGCAATATCAGCAGCAGCTGTTGTAGACTTACAGAAGCATCAGAAAACCATCATTAGTTGTCACACTAAATCCAAGAAAGCCTAGCCTTCCAATAGTCAAATAGTACCAGAAAAATCCCTAAAGCTCACCCAATAGACAAACCAGGATGCCTGCTCGGATGCCAATTGAAATTCTGGCACTCACACATACATGTTCATACTGATGTTTCCCACATCATAACATGATGTTAGGACAATTGTTAAGACATATGTAAACAGACTGAACAACAATATCAAGCTAAATAATATGCATAATTTAAATGCAGAATGATAAATAACATAATCAATTTTTAATCCAGTTCAGTGCAACATCACCTACATCTAGGGGCTACCAAGCCAGGAAGAAAATCCATTATCAGTAGTATTAATTCCAAGTCTAAACAATCTCAGTTTACAACTTATCACTTAATCACTATCCAATGCAACTTCTACCTAGGAACTTCCTAAATATGAGAAATCACCATCTCACTCTCAATCACCGCAGTGATATCAAACAATCCTAATCTAAAAGAATGTCTCAAGAAATCAAAAAAGAAGATTACACTTCCAATACAAAAATACTTAGTCAAGACTCTTAGCTAAGAACAATACTTGGTTTAGCTTAAAAGCTTCATCCAAGAACAATACTCAACTCATTTCCTAAAGGCTTCTGAGTGAGAACATTATGTCTACCACAATGTATCAAAAGATACAAAGGGTGACTTACACCACAAAGAACACGAGAGACTCTCAAAACTTAAACCCTTATTTTTAACTAAAAATTCAAGAACTAATTTTCCCTAGGTCTTAGTCTTCTTATATAAGCTTCAGCTGTCCATAGACTTTGAATTCTCTGCCCAATTGTTCCTTGATTCATGTGTTGATTACAGCAGAAAGCATCTCCTTAAATCTTGGAATAAATCTTCAAGTTTTCTAAATTGTTCAACCACCAAATTTAAAAAATTTAATGTTGTTGGAGATTTGATTCACTTGTTCCAGATTATATCTTCTTGACCTGCGAAAATAACTGAGATATATCCAAAAGGATTCTCATAAAATCAAATCAAATATGTCAAAAAAAATACGCAACAGTCACTATTGTATAATATGCCACGATGTCAGAACATCTGGCTTGACATCTGCAAAATAGTATGATAACAGATCCTATCATGACATTTGATCATGACGTTATAACATCTTGCTCAACATCAATAAGAACCATGTTTTAACAAAATTATGTCAATCCTAAAACCATGGTATTAACACACATGTTTAACATTGTGAAATTTTGAATCAAACTCTAGTATCTAGATATTGATAAGTTTCTTGGCTCGACAAAGATTGAGCATGTTATGGAAGTCTAGACGAAGATTGAGTATCTAGACATGGATAGGTTTCTTGATGACTCAGATGACAGGAATTCGATTGTGAACTATAGGAAGTTGACTTAGTTGTATATCAACGCTTTGGTTGAAGGAAATGTGGATTTGAAGGTAATAAATTATAATGATTGTATAAATTCAATATCAATTCTCATAAACGACGCTAATATTCTGTGCAAAAATGAAATGATGATCGAAGAAGCTAAGTTAATTGTTTTGTTACAATGAAACTGAGTTTTAAGCAGAGGACTGAGACTGACTTGCAAAATTAGCTTTTCAATGTTCAAGTTAGTTAATGAGAAAAAAAAATGAATATAGTGTTCTCAATTTGAAATTCATACCTCGTAATTGTGTGCTAATCCCTTTAAAAATAAATTTCTCATCATGATACATCTCCAATCCCCTGAGAATTGAGACGGCTTCCTCCGCCGGAGAGGGAGGAGGAATATTCTGCCGTCGCAATCTGAAAATCAGACAAACCGAAACATGGTCATGGTGGGCTCCACTTTCTCTCTCTCCATTTTCAATTTCCATCATCCATGTTATAGAAGTCACCTTCCCCTTTGTGTTGGTCCGAAATCGAATATACCATACCTTTCATTGTAAAAAAACATACTATTATAATATTATTCACAATGTTACCTCAGATTCGTCGCCGATATTTCCTCTAACATGTTCCTTAAACAATATAGGACCTGTTGTCTTCTACGAGGTGAACTGAATATGCACTAATCAAATGATGTTTGTATAATATTTTTTTAATGATAATCGTAAACATTGACATATATTAATTATTAGAATTTGCGTGACAATTATTTGAATCACTGTAACACAATTATATAAACCTCATTCATCACTGTACATGACGCTTTTGTATTTGTTGCTTCTTACTCCATTGAGCCATTTTTTTTTCTATATTATTTATATTTCACAACACAAATCCTATGTTTTCATCTGATCAATAATGTTCTGTTCTTCTGACTGTTTGGTTTCTAGTTCAATTCCAATAGGTTATCATTACTCATCAGAGTCTGGTTTTTGTCTTGTGAAATTATAGATTCTTCCAAAAACATTGACACTTGAATTGAAGGTTTTCTATTATTTTGGAAGTTGAAGCTAAAAAAATAAAAGAAGAAGAAGAGGGTATGATGGAGAGTGGTGAGAGAGGAGGAAGAGAAGATTATGATGGAGTGATGATGACGATGACAAGAGACCCGAAGCCGAGGCTGAGGTGGACAGCCGATCTTCACGACCGGTTTGTCGATGCTGTCACAAAGCTTGGTGGCCCTGATAGTATGTACTGCACTCTTCTTTCATTTGATTTTGGTAAAAAATTTAAATCGTTGTCGCAATCTTTAATCGTGAAGATATAGAAAAATTTAGATATCGCGATTCAGGGTCTATGATCTTTTTGTTGTTAGAATTGAAGGTGTAATAGAGAAATGTCTATATAATATCTTTGGACTTATGAAGTTTTGTTTGTCACATAATGATATTAATTTGAATTTTTTGTTTGTTTGTTATGTTATTGTGCATAGAGGCAACTCCAAAGGCTGTTCTAAGGTTAATGGGCTTGAAAGGTTTGACATTATATCATTTGAAGAGCCATTTACAGGTAACAACTACTATGATAGATTTAATTTATGTTAAAAATAGATTAAGAAGTGAAAAGACAAAGTATGAGTCATTTTATGAATTTTTATTTAGAGGCATAAAATGAAATTTTGTGTTAACTTGCAGAAGTATAGACTTGGACAAAATGGTCGAAAACAATATGAAGAACAATACAAAGAGAATAACAGTGAGTCAGTTACAAATAAGTTAATTGATGTTTGGATTCTACTTATTTAAACATGCCAATAATAACTTATATGTTATCCAAGATAACTAATAAAACCAGCTTCTATTTTGTAGTTTATGTGAAAATGAATTAACTTTTTAAATAATAATTTTTATGTATGTAAATTTCAGTAACCATTCTTGTTTCATCTTTTTAGGGTGTTCCTATGTAAATTTCAGTGACCATTCTTCTCAGACTAATACAAGTTATGGAGGTGATAATGAAGAGGGGTATGTTGGTGTTTAACCAAATATTTCATTTTATGTTTAATTATTATCTTTTATTTCTACGAGTATAACTATAATTTTCATTAGTCAAATTACATCTAAATCTTCTTGTCTAGGTAATTAGCATTTTAACTCTTAAGTATTTCTTTAAACTTGATATTCGATCTAGTAATCGACTAATTTAAAGGGATTAATCTCACAGTTCAATAACAGAGACCTATTTAAAAATATAACAAAATTTTGTATGAACCGATTCAATCGAGACATTCATTTTAACTCTTATGTCAATTTAATTTATTGTATTTCCTAACTTGTTTACTGGAAATTTAATAGAGAAATTCCAATAGCTGAAGCACTTAGACAACAAATTGAAGTTCAAAAGAGATTAGAAGAGCAGTTTGAGGTATTCTATAAATTTTCTAATCAAGTTAATTCTTCAATCCTAAATAATCCTAATTCACTTGAACAAAACTTGTTTCTTGTCAATAGGTACAAAAGAAATTGCAAATGAGAATAGAGGCTCAAGAGAAGTATTTTCAGACAGTGTTAGAGAAAGCACAAACAAGTCTTTCACAAGATGGACAAAGCAACCTTCAATTCAACTCAGCTTTATCAAATTTCATGGAAAATATGACCAAAGATAGTAAAGAAAACATAATAGACATGAATGAGTTTTATAACAAGAACCATAGTTCAGTTTTCAATTATCAAGAGGTACTAGGAGCAGAAGAAAACAAAGAAGTAAAGCCTCAAGTTGAAGGGGATTCAATTCACTTAGACTTAAACATCAAAGGTGGCAATGAACTTTTATGTGCAGATGGAGCTGAAATGGAATCAAAGATGGTTTCATATAGGGTATTCCAATTTTGAATTATCATATGTTTAACCATTAATTATTGAATATTCTACTTCCCCTACATAAATTCCATAACTCTCACCATCTCTTTTGTTGGATAAAGTTGCATATTAGAATTAACATAAGGAGTAATAAGGTGGCTTATTTGCAACAGCTTCTTTTGTACACTGCATCCATTGCACATTTTATTGCATAAAGTTATCCACTTTTAACTGCAGTTGTGAAGTTCTATGATTTTGTCAATTAAATGTTGAATTCATTACTCTATGATTTTGTCAATTGAATGATTTTTGGCAACTGTGATTTCTCTTGAGTGAGGTATTGTACTTTTTGGGTGGTTTGGGTAGCCACTATCTATTCTTTGTGACATCTTTGGATGTTTTGCAGATTTTTATCCTTTTTGGCAATGGTTATGATTCAATAAAAGTTTAGCTTTGGTTTGATGAAGAAACAAATTTGGTTTTATGAAGAAAAAATGTTGATTATAGAAACAATATTACTGGGAAAACGAAAAAAATTTAATTCACGTCAATTATTTGATAAAATAGTTATGAGAAATATATCAAGAAGAAGAGGAGCAAGATTAACATGAAGATAATCAATAAATTCATGGAGGTTTAAACCCCCGCAATTTAAAGTGTTTTTTACCTTTGAATGGTGTGGCATGAAACGTAGAGTGTCACGTAAGCATCTGTTAGTGAAAACTAAAATGAGAGACTAATTTTAGAGACAAAAAAGTTTGCGAGAATCATTGTTTTAAAAAAAATTTTAGAGGGACTAAAATTGAAGGTTCACTTATCTATGAGGATCCCTGACATATTTAACCCTTGATTTTAAATTGAAAAGACATTTTATCGTATTCGAGTGGAAAACTCAACTTACCACCCACAAGTATGTAGGAATTGAGCATTTGTTTCATCTTGATATGAAGATCTTTTACTTTAATTTTCTCACAAGTACGTCTTAATATTCAAGTGGTGTAATATCCCAAATTTGTCCTACCCCTTTCACTTTTATCCGGCTTATGCATCTCACATTTTTCTTATGTATATAACCTCCATTAGGCCAGCTAACACCTTATGCATCATTCATCAATAAATTTAGCATGGGATCAATCTTCATGAACAGTATTAGGGTTTTATCAACTGACTGAGGTGTATATGTTCAACAGAGCTTGATTCTTCTGGTTATTTTTCAAGGCAGTGGAATTGTGGAATTAGGGTTTTATGTTCAGGGATGTTGTGGATCTTTTCTTCATCAAGCTACAAGGTCACCCCCCATCAAGAATTCATCCAAAGCAAAGTGAATTACGGTTTTTACTTATGGTATTTAGTGTCTCATCAAGGTTGCAATTGAGGTTGTTTGAACCAGGATTTTGGCTTAAGCTATCTTTCTCCTCATTGAGTATCCAAAGCCAGAGAATTAAGTTTTACCTATACTCATGTTTGAGTTTTGTTCAGTTGAGGATCATTAGATATCCATGAGTTATTCTATGCTTCAAGCCTTATCATCCGTTCTTAAGGATTCAAAGCACTAAAATTTTGTTGATCATCATGTAAAGACGTGATACAAGGATGATGTTACAAATTCACTAAGATTAAGGCATTATTGGTTCTCTCATTTCTTGTTATACAAGTTTGATGGATATTAAGTGAATTGAGTTAGTGTGGATTCATTATGGTGAAAGTATTCGTTCAAGTGATTATTTGGGGTCATGAGTTCAAGTGGTTCGAATTTGTTAAATTGGACCAATATTTTAAGAGGAAAATATATTAAGTTTGGAAAGTCCATCCACGTGGATTCCTTGGAATTCAAGTCACTTTGAAAAACAAAGCACACCATGTTCATCCATGAGCAAGATTTTGAATTTCAAATGAAAGTCTTTCTTTAGTCATCTTTGAGTTTGTCTCGTGAATTATCCATAAAAAGGGTTTGATATCATGTGTTTCATTCAAGTTGCAAATGAAGAGAAGCATTGGGATAAGGGTATTTTTGACTTAATCCAATTATCGGGAGTTGATCATCCTTACTACTCGAACTTGTTGGTCGCATCCCTGATTTTCTAGGAGGATCCGACTAGAAATTTCTAATTCCCTTGTGGAATGTTGACTCCAACCCTTTCGACATAGCGGCCATTACTGGCCTTCGTCCAACAAGTAAATTTTTTGACCCAACGGACAATGATGAAGATATGATTAAATTCGAAAAAGATTATACTGGCTTCACCAAATACATGGAGCGTTATCACAAAAAAACTGTTGAGAAGGTTGTCATACCCCAAATTTGCCCTATAGATTTCTAACAATTTATTCCCTATTAAAGTTATCACTTTTATAAAGGATTAAATTATTGTCAGATTATCGTGGGGTTTAAGTTTTCAAAGAAGGTGTATTATTTCAGGATGGACCATCAAAATCTGATGGCCCATTAAGTTGGTTCTTACAATTAAGAAAGGATGTATATTTGTTGGATATGTTTCAGTCCATTTAGAAGTTAATAGAAAGAGGGGGTGTGCGCAAATGGCCTCATTCTCTAATTGACCAGACCCATTTGCTTTTAGAGGCATATATTTTGTTATAGATCCATTTGAAATAACAAGAAGGAATGTGTATTTGGGCTTGCGTTCAAATTAATTAGGACGGTCCAGTCTAGAGTTTTGGTAGCTCGTTTTAAAAATGTTGACTAAAGTCAACATTTGTATTTGTTAATATTATTTTTTCATTTTACCAATCATTACTTATTATTATTATCTCTCGGTAAATTGTTTGGATATATTTACTATTGATATTTTAATTATTATTATCATTATTTGGCATGTTGACTAAAAGTCAAAATTGAAGAAAAGGGTTTTGAAACCCTAACAAGTCCCAGTGGCGACCTGTTTGTTCTTCTTCATCAATTATAAGCCCAAAACCCAACAAACATTCATTGTACAAATTCAAAAGAAGGAAAAACGCATTTGTAAAATAAAAACAAATTCAATCTTTATATCAAACAAAATCGTATCATTACATTGTTCCCTAAAATTAATTACAGAAAATCAAGTTATATTACAAGCATATCAATCCGAATCAATTACAAGAAATCAAATCTCCTAATTTATCAATCAAGATTAATTTCTAACACCAATCTACCCTAATCAACAGAAAATAACGACAATCACATAAAATATTCCTAAATCTGTCTAAAAACCCAACTATAAAATAACCTAAAAATTCTAAAGAAGGGGATGAGGATTATTGCGAAGAAAACAGAAGGGATAGTGAAAAAAAACTTGCGGTCTTGAGTCTCCAACTGAAGCCATCTTTATCTAGGATATGAGTTTCAAAATCAAAAACCCTAGATCTGCGAGGTTCACCAACTTCGCGCCTTCATTGCTATTGTTGCTGTCATCATCCAACGTACCTGCAAGGCAGAGAGAATAAGAGGGAGATTAGGAAGGCAAACCAGAAAGACATAAAATGAATTGATACGACAAGATTCTCTGCGGAGAGGTAAGACTAATACTTAGCTTAGGGTTTTTGCTTGAATATGTGATTTGTGTTTGGTTTGAAATTCTGGAAATTCAGGGTTAGGTTAGGGTTAGGGTTCTACATACTAGGGTTATGGTTCTTAAAACTAGGGTTAGGGTTCATCACGATTGAAGGTCCTGGGTTTTGGTTGGTTAGGGTTCATCGTGAACCCTTAGGGTTCATAGAACCCATATGAAGATTCACGGTGGCTGGGATGAACGTTTGAAGGCAGGCGGTGGTGCCCAGATGCAGCCGCCGGTGAAAGCGATTTCCGATCGGTGGCGCTTTGGGCTGGGAGATTTCTGGCATGGCAAAATTCTAGAGAGAATGCAGAGCCTCTCTCTCGAGAATTAACAAAATGGTTGTTGTTTTGGGTTAGAAAGAGAAAGGAAAGGGAAAAATGGGCCCGAAGTCCGAAAATATACTTTTATAAACCCTCTCTGATTCTGTGTTTGCATCTCCATGAACCTTACCGTGCGCTTCCCAACACAACCCTTGAATCAACATCAAACGATCCAAAAGCGCGCGTCCATCATGATTCCACGACCTCTCCCACACCTTATCCATTGGATCAGGAAGCTGTTTTGGGCCTAGCTCATCGCTAATCGCACCCTCCCTATTGCCTCAGTTTACTACCATGCTAGAATAAACACCCCTCTGTTGCATTTTGCCCAGTTCAATATCTGAACTTGGTCCCTTGTTAAACAAACACTCCATTTTGCTACGCAGTTCAAAAACCACACCCCTTTATGATCTGACCTGAATTTAATATCTGAATTCAGGGTCCTACTTTCCATACCACCTGTTTTACTTAACCCAAATAAAATACACCCCCTGCGCTTTTATTAAAAATATCTTATTTTTATTATTATTTATATTACTATTATAATTATATATTTAATATGTTTATAAATGCTGAAATTATTTTATTATTATAAAATTCAAATATTTATTTTTTCTACTAACTCATAATTACTTTTAAAAATTGCATTAAAATTATTTTTTTCAGACATTAAAAAGATTTTCTATATATTAATATATTTAAAAAAAAATACTTAACCAACATCAAATCTATTTTTCTTACTAATTTAATTAAATCCAAGATTATTTAAAAAAAACAAAAGGATTATGGAGATATTTTTGATCGAATGCGAACTTCGTCTAACAATTCCACTATTCACACACCCAAACTTGGTTCAAGGAGAATTCGAAATATCTTCGTAATCCATAAAAAATACCAACCAATTACGAACTACGAATTGAGACTCTGATTCCTCATAAGAGGATAAGTAGGCATACGACTAAAATCGTGGCAAGTTCCCCTAATAAAAAATTAAAACCCTATTTCCTAAGCCGTAATTTTAAACCATAGTATCCTTTGAACAAAGTAGATGAGGGGGTGCCTAACACCTTCTCTTCGTCTAGAAATGAGTCAAACAACTTAGAATCTCTGACGAAATTAGAGTTATCCTTTATATTCCATTCCCTAGGATAAAAATTAA